GCTGCAACATTAACATGTGTCAGTTCATGGGATGTTAGGAGACAAGAGATGTCTCCAAATGTCTCGACACTCAGGTCCAAGTTTTGAAAATGGTGTCAGTAAGTTAAATATTGTTCACTATTGACCCATTACAAGTTTGACAAGACAGTATTTTAACTAGAGTTGATGACAAACTGGAGTTGAACTGATCAGAGTTTATTCCTTTGTTAGGTCTAATGCTCCTTTTTTCAGACAGACAACTTTTACTTAAATGTGTTTACTGCAGTTAAAATGACACATTGGTTTTGCTTTGTGTTAAATAAAACTATCAAAGGTATAATCATTCCTCTTTCTTATTTTGATTAATGGCATTTAACTCTGCAGGTCATTCCTGAAATTCTGCTGCACAGAATCACAAGTCCAGGTGTGAACGGTGTCACAGAGTAAACACAACAAAAACATGTATTATCTGCAGCATTGTTCATTAAAATGGCTCAACACTATTAATGTATTACAGAAAATATACATACGGTAGGAACACAATGATATTGTAGAGCATTGCATTATGTAGTACATTCAGCAAGTACTTTTACTTTTCATACTTTAAGTATTTTTAAAAGCAAGTGCTTTTTTTTTACTTTTACTTAAGTAAAAATGTTAATGTGGTACTTCTACTTTTACTAGAGTACATTTTTGTCTGTTTATTTGTACTTTTATTTAAGTACAGTTGAGTACTTTCTCCATCACTGCCTATGACTGACAAAATAAGTAGAGATACTGTGGTTAGTCCTACACAGACACCAAGTTTAAACAGAAAAAATGAACTACTAGCATTTCATTGAGGTAATGAATATTGCTTATGAACTTTAACACCAGAATTTTAAACAAAGAACATCTTGTTACCTTTCAATAATGGTCAGTCAGGTCATCTGGACAGTTTCTTTTTTGTGGAAAGATGTTTTGCCCTCTATCCGGAGGTTGGGACTCAGAGTGATGAAGCCCTCCAGATAAAGGGTGAAACTTCTTTCCACAAAAAAGAAACTGTCCAGATGCCCCGATTGACCATTATTGGATTTTGTACCTGTATGATTGAGCATGAACTTGATATCTTGTTACCTTGTAAATATGACTATCTCATGCAAGATCTCGTAAGCTGTGTTGGCTCGTATAGTATATGTTGAAGAAGGATATCAGCTACAAACACCAAATTTAGCTCAAAACCTGTAACATACAACTTTTGTGTCAGTTGAAGTTGATTAGCTGAGGCAGCCATCTTAAACTGGGTTGACTCCAAAAGTTAATACCAAAGTTTTAGGTAAAGACGATGTACAATGTAGAACACTCAATGTGTCTGTTCGAATGACTCGCAATGTCTTTGTTCAATATCTCTACAATTGATGATTTATAACCATGTTTTTGTTTAGTAATGTCGACAAGCACTGTCATGCATGTCACATCTCATGCCATTTATACCATTTATCATGAATGTCAGTACCTTATCATAATAATTCAATTAATCTCAGTGTTACTACCTGTACAATATGTGCAATACATGTGCATTTAAGTTTATTTTACTACCTGTGAAATACCTATTTAGATTCATCCTACTTGCACCATTATATTCTACAATGTTGTTGTTAACTATATTTTGTTGGACCTTGGAAATGTTATATTTATTTTCCACTTTTTGGTACTTTATTTTGTACCCTTATTGCAAGAGTTAGTATTTCTTGTTTGTGTGTTTTTTTGTCGAATCAGTTCTTCTCATCCTGAACATTTCATTGCACGTGTTGACCCTGTGTTAACCTTCATATGACAAATAAACAACACAACATGCTGTATACTTGATTTGTTGTTGAAGTTGTTGAAGGACCCGTCTCACCCTGGACATGATCCATTTGAACGGTTACCATCATGGAAAAGGTACAGATCAATCAAGAAAAGAACAAACAGATTTAAAAATAGTTTTTATCCATCAGCTGTTACTGAACTTAACAAAAGCTGTAATAAGAACTGAATAAGTGCAATAAGGGACAACTTGTGCAATGTCAATCTGCTTGTGTTGCACATTTGGAGTGTTTAAAATCTGTAATTAATACCTTTTATACAGCTTATGTTTATATATATATACACACACCCACACGTATCATTTCGTTCACGATAATACTGGTTAAAAAAAAGCTTGCCCGAGCAAATAATTGATATCATGATATGCTAATTTGCTCACACAGACTCATGTTCATGTTTGTGCTGATGTTCGATGTAATGTTTTTATGTTATGAGTGCTTAGTGTATATTTAGTTGATGTTTTTCTTAGTTCATATCTTAGATCTTATTACCGTTTTTCTTTTACATTATATTGTTGGATGTAACTGGGACCCTGTGTACATAATGTCGCTCCACCACATGTACCACATGAGGTGCGAATGACAATAAAGTAACTCTGACTCTAATTTCATGACGTAATACGTCAATTCACCTGCACTTTAGTTTTTGTGGTGGATTTTGTTGATCTATATTTTGTGCAGACGTTTTCAATCTAAATAACAGAAGGATCTTTTTTATTTTTATACTTGGAGACTAAATACTTTACTAAATAAAGTAATTTAAGTAAAATTAACCCTTTATATATATATATATATATATATATAACTGCAAAGCCACATGTTCAGTTAATTTGGTCAAACAAATAACTATGATTTCTAGGGGTTTTTTTTGTTGTTATATCACGAAATTTATCATTATCGCCAGAATGCTCTGAAATATCACGATATTATATTTGAGCAATATCGCCCACCCGTAATATACATATATAACACGGTGTGATTTGTTTTGGTCCGGTCTGTTCTCTACTCTGTTGGCCATTTTAGTTAGCTTCTGCTGCTATTTGTATCTGTATTTCTATTTTATGTTTTCCTGTCTGCTGTGCATGTTTGTGTTCTTTTGTACAGCACTTTGGTTGGCCTTGTTGCTGTTTTAAGTGCAATATAAATAAATTGGTATGGTATGGTATGGTATATACATATATATATATATATATATATATAAACACACACATACATTTTTTTTTGTTGTTGTTGTTTTTGTTTGTTTGATACAATACTGTTTTTACTTTTGCTCTGGGAAGCAAACCCAAATTTCATTGTATTTAGGTGCAATGACAGTAAAGGTCTATTCTATTCTTTATGAGAAGCTAGTTCAAGTTTCCTATTAAAACATGCATGCCACTACTTCAGGCTAGATCTCTACACCTGTTTTAAAGTCTTTTTCCACTGCCCTGCCAGCTGCTTTAACACAGGACAGCAGTGCAGGAAGCTTTCACTGCAAGCAAGGGTTATCTTCCACTCTGTTCCTCTAGCTACTTAAAAGGTTCAAAGGTTAATTCATCGAGTCTCTGGTTGATAAGCGGAATACAATGACAGACAATTTGTTCTCCTCTGCAGAGCTGAAAAACCTCATCGAACTCATGAAACTTAATTACCACAGTGTTTCAAATGTTGAATGAAAGCCAACAAACCGTAATGAAGAGATGGGAAAGGATTGTTTTTTGTAGGGGCTTCCCACCCCCCCAGTGTTTTTCCATTTTCTAGTTTATGACATGGCCCTACATCTCTGTTCTTCTGTTTCTATCTTTGACTCTTGTTTGCTCTTTCCATCTCTCACTCAGAGACAAGAGAGGTTAGAGAGCACGGACAGGAAAATCAATCAAGATTGGATTGATAGTGTAAACTGACAGGCTGAAGAGGCAGCAAACCGATACATGAGCAGAGCGGGACTGAGTGTTTCTGCAGAAAATAGGGTGTGACCACACAGCGTGCAAAACTACAAGGAGAAAAATAAACGGCTCCATTTTGAATAACTTGATACAATCAACACTGTTTAAAATTTGATTTACCAAATTATAATTATATAATTGAAACCCAGTTGTTGTTGTTGTTGTTTTTGCATTTATCATTATGTACATCCTTAATGATAATTCTAAGGGTCAGTTTATTTGTTTTATAATTAAGTATTAGTGAAATACTGAATGATCAGATCAAGTAACAATACAACTGGTAATAAATATATTTAATCCAAATGCAATCAATGTTTGTTCAACCATTAAAATACCTAATTATAATAACAAAAAGGTAAGTTTGACTTCAGTAAAAATTTAGCATGTTTGTATTTAAAAAATTTAATATTAAATATTTGAGCAGCCTTAAAGTTTATATAAAGTATAAAATATACTTGCGCAATTAGGTTTTCTTTTAGCTCAAACTAAAAATGACAACATATCTGCTTCTGATTGCTCCCTCACATTTGTATTTGTCACTTGTCAGTCAAATATATAATTTTATGTGTCAACTGCTGAATTAGTTATACACATTACAGGGCACCTGTGCAATCTAAGACAAAAATGTAGAATATGTACAACTTAATCTAAATACTCAATGTCCTGAACAGGATGCAGGATTTAAAAATAAATAAAATAAAATAAAAACTTTTTCCAAGCTTTCTTAGCTTTTTTTGGCAAATTAGAAAGCTTCAGTTAGTCAAAAATCTTTGACATCTGTAATATTTTTAATTTATTTTACGAAATAAATTGATCTCAAGATGAGATGAGGAATTTGTACGTTTTTAATGCCACTGACCGAGCAGCTAAATATTCAAAGAAACAAAATTACTCAAAAAATACTTGAGAAGAACCTGAAAGGGTTTTTTTTTAGGTAGCCAACGTCTAAAATAAAAAACCTCAGACAGTTTAGCAAGAAATTACCCAAAACAATTTTAAAACAAAAATAAAATCACTAGAATGTTTGGCAGCCTGGAAGTAAAATGTGAAGAAATTAAAGACTCAAAACTTTTGCCCAGTACTTCATACTGTAAAATAGAGAGAAGACAGATTTTATAACCACGACTGTTTTGCCCTGTGAGTCACACCATTTGAAGAGGTCAAATCTTTGCAGCTGACTGCAGCCCTTGTTAAAAAAAATAAAAAAAATCATTACTTTTGCCTCATTCTGTAATTACTGACTGACCTTCATGTTCTTTCTCTGAAGCGATGGTTTTCTTCATCTTCTTGGGGGTTTTCATGAAAAGTGGAAAGATGGTCCGCAAGCCCAGGATGTCCACAAATTTATGGCAGTTATCTGCTCCCTCCGGTCCAATCATTGCATGGTCCAGGACTTTCAGAGCACTGGTGCGAGACATTTTCTTTTCTCTACAAGAGACAGAGAGAGAAAAACAAAGGGCAATCAAGATGTGGTATATGAAGAACTGCACTTTTAAAATAAGCCCAGAAAAGGTTTACTGTGGTTAAAATAAAACAAATATTGTGGATTTTTTTTTATTTTTACTAAAACGACAATAAGCTATACTTTATTGCTGTAACAATTACATTTTTTTTTTATTATTAAACTTTATTTAACCAGTCAAATCCCACTGAGATCACGGATTTATTTTGCAAGGGAGAGCTGGGCCATAAAGCAGCATAATGTATATTTTTGTACTGTGGAAGGGAACCGGAGTACCCTGAGAAAACCCAAGGAGAACATACAAACTCCACACAGAAAGACCGAAGGTCCAACAGGGGATTGAACCCTAGACCGTCTCTTGCAGTGAGGCAACAGTGCTAACCACTTAGCCGTCATGCTGCCAACATTTATCTATGTCAAAAATATTTTTACTCACCAGAGCATCTTAAAAATAACACCTTCCAAACATATGTTTTTAAATGGATGCCCTTTTTTGTCAGGAATCTAATTTCAAACAGTTTACACCATCTTTTTTATTTTATTGAGGTTTTAGGACGCCCTTCACAACGATTCTTAGTCATTATTTTTCCTACACAGGGCTTCCACTCTATAATAGGATGTTAATATCAATACCTGACAAACAAATGTTCTGCAGGACAAATATTCTCCTGCTTCTCCTCAAAGAATTGTCTTGAAATGAGAATCAAAGTGTTTCTTACTGTGTTTATATTCCCCATTCTACCCTCCACCTTCTGTTAGGAAATGTAGCTGTCTGTGTGAGTGTCGTTTCCCTCATTTCCACCAATGACAGATGACAGTGTTTATCTCAGAGGAGGGACACATATTTCAGGCAGTTGTGTCTGCTTCTGCAGACAGACACATTGTGTTTGATGGACGGCTGGGGAGGACAAGTGGGAGTGATATACAGTACATTTTCCAAAAAGGAAACGAAGGCAATTTAGTTTGTAGACAGCTAACGTTAACATCTTGGTGCTGCGTACTAACCTGCTCAAATGAATGGTGGGTCATGTCTGGTGGATCCCAGCATGGCAACACAAATACGTATTTTTTTATGTAAATTCTAGACCAGTGGTTCCCTTGGTGGGGTCAGGACCCAGTATGGGTCTCCAAGCATCATGTTTAGGGTATTGAGATGATTGTCAAAATGAATAATAAAAAATAAATTGGAAAAATTAGGCCCGACAGCACCATTTCCAAACCTGCTCTAGACTAGGGCTTTTCTAAACTAACTCCCCCACACTGTTGAGTTTGAGAACCAGATAAAGCTGATTTTTCTTGTCGTTGCATTTTGTTGTTAACCATCTTGTGTTTCTTTAGTGACACAATTTCTATTTTCTTGTTCTTCTTTATTGTTTTCATTTTAATTTGACTAAACTGTAAAGAACTTTTTGTTATTTTTATGTGCTACATAAATTAAAATGGGCAGCATGGTGGCACAACTGGTAGAGCTGCTGCCTCTCAGCGAGCAGGTCCCTGGTTCAAACCTGGGTCCAGGGGCCTTTCTGGGTGGAGTTTGCATGTTCTCTCCGTGCATGCGTGGGTTTTCTCCGGGTGCTCCGGTTTCCTCCCACAGACCAAAAACATGCATGTTAGGCTGATTGGTAACTCTAAAGTGTCCCTAGGTGTGAGTGAGAGAGTGAATGGTTGTTTGTCTCGTTTGTCTCTATGTGGCCCTGTGATGGACTTGAGACCTGTCCAGGGTGTACCCCGCCCCTCGCACAGTGATTGCTGGACATGGGCACCAGCGACCCCCATGACTCAAAATGGAATAAGCGGGTAAAGAAAATGGATGGATGGATGGATGGATAAATTAACTGACATTGCCACTGACTTTGAAAAGCCTGCTCTAGAACTCACCAAAAGATCCCGACCCCGATTTGAGTTGATTATTCAGTTTAAAGTCAGAAGAAAGCATCCAGACATTAAACCAGAGAGTGGCAAAAACATATTAAAAAAAATGGAGCTCAGCATAAAAAAAACCCCATGTTTAACTTTTAACTCTTAAGGAAGTATCCCACCAAGCTGTAGCTCACAGAGTAGTTCTATCCATCCATTATCTTTACCAGTTTCTTCCTTTTCAGGCTGCGGGGGTCACTGGTGCCCATATCCAGCAGTCACTGTGCGAGAGGAGGGAGACATCCTGGACAGGTCACAAGTCCATAACAGGGACACATAAGAGACAAACGACAAGACAAACCACCAATCGCTCTCTCACTCACACCTAGGGACAATTTAAAGTTACCAGTCAGTCTAACATGCATGTTTTTGGTCTGTGGGAGGAAACCGGAGAAAACCCATGCATGCACAGAGAGAACATGCAAACTCCGCCCAGAAATATCTCTGACCGGGATTTGAACCGGAACCTTCTCACTGAGAGGCAGCAGCTCTATCAACTGAGTCAAGTCAAATGTATTTATAAAACGCATTTAAAGCAGCAGCTGCCACCAAAGTAACTGAGCCACCGTGCCTCCTCCTAGACTAGTTGGCGACACAAAATTGCCAGAAAATTGTTTGAAAAAGGGCAATTTTCTTTTTGGGTCCCACTGAACTCTGAGTTTGCAACCAAGCGAACAGCGTGTGACTGAAACTTGAGCAGCCAGTTTTTGAAAATCATGCCCTATATTCATGTGCACAGTTTACAAAACTGCATTCTAGGCCATGCAAATTATTTTGATTTCCCCATTCCAAACATCATATCCATCCCTCTACTGGAGTACACTTATGAGATGAAAATAGATTTGCACCAGGTTTTTATTTATTATCTGTTGTCAAAAGTGTGTTTTTAGATCTGAACATTGAGAGGACAGCTCTTGCTAACGTGTGAAAATACAACTCTGCTGTTGGGAATTTACAAATTTTTTCACATTTTAAAAATTTTGTTTTTAACATATTCATTAATCAAGTGATAAAGATGTGCAAGCTTTTGTGTCTGGTGAGAAAATAGAGCATCTCAGCAAATGATTTGAGACATTTTAGAGACGGTTTACAGTTTACTGTTCACAAACTAGTTCGCCTGTTAACAAAACCCTGAGACTTGAGCTCCTCCACTTGAAGCAGAACCTCACACCCAACCCGAAACGTGATCAACATTGTGTATGAAAACAAGCTTTTACTTCCTCCCCCACATTTTTAACATCTTGTCTTGATATATTTTTACACAAGATTCAGGTGTGAAAAGGTTATAAATAAAGTTTTAATTGGCGCGTCACTTTGTTTTCCACAGTTTTGCAATTTTTTAAACAATATGAACAGGTGAAAATATCTTTTAGGTTTAGTTTAGGACTGCTTTTGTTCTCAAGTCTGCTTCAATAAATATAAATATTGTTTTATTAGATGAAGCAGAATCTCCCTGCTCGTTCAAAACAACCTCTATGTAATGAACCGTTTCTTCAGATATCACAATAGCAAAATCTTTGTTTAAAAAAAAAAAGTATAGATAATATAATATATAAATATGTATATATGTGTGTGTGTGTATGCATATTTTAACATTCAGTGGTCCTCGTTTATCACGGGTTTAGGGGATCACGCCCCCCGCAATAAGTGAAAAAGCGTGCGTCCCTCGCACAGTGATTGCTGGACATGGGCACCGGCGACCCCCGTGACCCAAAAGGGAAGAAGAGAGTAAAAGATAATGGATGGATGGATATATTGTGATTATGACGATTTTACAATGTGACATACTTTGAATTTTAAGTTGTAAGACAAAAGTCAATCGGTGCATCTGGACAGTAAAGGGTTAACCCTTCACGAAGCTGCTCCAGCAGGAGAAATGTGGGCGTGGCAGAGAGCCGCAGGTGGCAGAGAGGAGATCATGACAGGCTACAGAGGGAGCTTCTCCCTGCTAAATCATTTAAAATAATTTATTTAAAATAAAAAATCCATGCCGATCGCGTGGCTCATCCACCAATCAGCCAATTGTGTGTCATGTCCACTCTTACTTTGAAAAATCACATAAGAGTGAGTGAAAGTCAAACCGCGAAATAGCGAGGGAATACTGTCTATATTACTTTTTTCTTGCCTGTCATTTTTTTCACACTCTTTCAGTCTTTATCTGGAGAAGGATTTACCAGAAAAGGTTTTTGCATTGCAATAATGAGATATTGATTCAAGCCTTAAATCTGTAAGTCCTGTGATGTGACCATCAGTGCTTGGGTGCAGAAGCTGTGAAGGTTTCATAAATGTGTGTGATGTGTCTTTATGACTCTTTAAGGTCAGGTGTGTGCTCTGCTGCACTCCAACTATTGACTGACTGGAGGAATCTGGCAAGCTCACAAGGCAGTAGAGCAAGCAGTTTAAAGGGAGAGTTTAATGAGAACCACAGAAAGAAAAATAAATCTACGAACTGAACTTCTAAGTACAGAGGCAGTTCTACTATGTTCCTTAATAAACACTGTTTTTTTAGCACTGAAATAGTTCTGCTCTGTCAGAGGTAGTCCATATAAAATTATGTTGTAATAGAATGTAGTCCAGCACATCATGCAGGTTTTTTTAATCTGGAAACTAAACATTTTGTATAAACAAATGGCTCCAGCGACATGTTTATATTAATGATTATGAAACTTTCCAGCTTTCAACCCACAAAATAACAGTGGCAGAGACTTATGACCCAGACCACGGCTAACTACCGTAAACCAACATTGCTAATAAGCCAATTAAATAAGAACATAATGACAGCACAAACAGCTTCAACGAACAATGCATTTTACTGTTATCTCTTGTGACATGGTAAAATGTGCAATTACCAGTCAGTTTAAAATAAATTAGAATCCGGAGATCATCTCAAGACCCATCATTTGGAGTTTTTCAACCCATCTTTTGGTCCCGACTTCATCTTTACAAACCACTTGTGCCCACGTATTTGTAACACTACAATAATATCTTATAAAAGCCAAAAATCTAGAAGTGTGGCAAAGTAAAGTCATTTAAAGAGTTTTTCATGGTTTGTAAATGAGTACCAAATAAAGACTATTTCAATTTAGGCAGAAGAGTGATAAAATACTGCATTACTTCAAAAACAAATACTTATTTAAATATTCTGCTACATAATTTAAAAAAATTTATTTATTTGTGTTTAATTTTGAAGGTTGATTACGTTAAAGGCAACAAAGTGCTTTGTCTCGGAACAAGAACACGTTTTCCAATTCAGATCTCTTCTCCCTCTATGTCTCTTGATGAAAAGGATGGGTTTTTTTAATCACAAAAATAGATTATGGTTTTTAAATTTCATAATTAGCTTGATTCTGTGGGCAGGGCGGGGTACCCTCCTTGGATAATAATAACAATAGTCGGGGAAACACTGGTCATTAACTCCATGAATGGGAGGTCATTTTGTCTGCATCAAAGTAATGAATGGACTGTCAGTCAACAAAACTACCTGAATTAAACTAAACTACCTAAATTAATGTACTTTCTTGTCTATAAGTCATTACTTTTTCACAGGCTTTGAACCCTGCAGCTTATACAATGCTGTGGATAATTTATAGATTTTATTTAATTATTTATTTAGACGGACTAACGAGCTTCCTGCCGCCAAAAACGTATCGCTTCGTCACACCCGGGTGCTCACATAGCTGCCCAGTACACGTCTCTCTTAGGGGGTGAGTCCTTGTGACTAAATTACGATTAAAAAATGTAAATAAAATCTGGCCAGTGAAATTACCAAACAAGTCACAGTCGAACCAATGAAACGGGAGGGGGGATTCCTCAGCATGCACAGAGCATGTGAGTCTCACATGCTCACAGAGCAACTTAGCTCCATGGAGCAGGAGGACAGCTTAACGATAGCGATCAATGACTCCCTGGTAAGTTACTGTTGTTATTTTTTTTTAACCAACTGTGTTACCGGCACTGCTCAGAATTTACTGAACGTATTCGTGTATGTTACCGGAACGTATTGTAGCATTCATTCTGTGGTTCATTGTGATTGACTGTTGGTCACATGACTTCAGGGAGGGATTATGGGTAAAATTTATATCCATTGTTTATCTTTCCGGTTAGTTGTTTAGCATTGTTCTTTTAGTGATTGCTCTGTTCTTGTTAGCCTAGTTTATGTGTTCGTTATGTGTTAGGCCATTCAGTAGAGTAACCATGAGTGAGGGAGGTAGTTGTCATAAAGACCTGTGGGGTTCACTCTGTCTGTGTGTGTTCAACAGAAAAATGAAGTCTATACAGCACCATCTGATTGTTGATTCCTGATCTACAACAAGAGCTGTACATCTCTCTCAGTAGCTGTGTGCTGCCACTCGTGTTATAACATGAATACCCGCGGCTTATACACTGCCTGGCCAAAAAAAAAAAGCTCATTGACTAATATTTTGTTGGACCGCCTATAGCTTTCATTACAGCATGCATGCTAGCAGGTTTTTTTTTCTACTATTCCTCTTGATTGTCCTTTTGGTTGCTATTTTGTTTTGATTTGTAAAAAATAAAATAAAGAGAAACTTAAATTTGTATGTCTATTTTATGACTGTCTATTGTTGTCATTGTTATCCATTGTCGTCATCACTTTTTGTTAAGAATTCAGGTCTCTCTTGTAAATGAGTCCCGGAGGCTCAATGGGATTAACCTGTCTAAATAAAGGTTGAATTAATTTGCTGTGGCATTGTTTCAATAAGCTTCTGCAATGTCACAAGATCCATTTCCATCCACTGTTGCATTGTTGTTTCACCAAGATCTTGCATTGATGACTAGACACTAGGCATGATGGGTGCATCACTTCACCTGCCTCTCTTCTTACCCTGATGCACCCACCACTCTGGAACAGGGTAAATCTGGACTCAACAGACCACATGACCGTCTTCCATTGCTCCATAGTCCGATCTTTATGCTCCCTAGCAAACTGAAGCCTTTTTTTTTCCAGTTAGCCTCACTGATCAGTGGTTTTCTTAAGGCTACACAGCTGTTCAGTCTCAATCCCTTCACATTGTGAGTGTGGAAATGCTCTTACTTTCACTATTAAACACAGCCCTGAGTACTACTGTTGTTTTTATTCAATTTGATTTCACCAAACATTTAAGTGATCGCCGATCACGATCATTCAGGATTTTTTTCCGGCCACATTTCTTCCTCGAAGACGATGGGTCCTCACTCTCCTTCCAGTTTTTACTAATGCGTTGGACAGTTCTTAACCCAATTTTAGTTGTTTCTACAATCTCCTTAGATGTTTTCTCTGCTTGATGCCAATGATTTGACCCTTCTCAAACTGACTGACATATTTTACACGATCACGCCATGTGTCTTTCAACATGGTTGTTTAAGAAATGAGAAGTAACTCATTGCAACAGTTGGGGTTAAAGAACTTGTTGCCAGCTGAAAGATAATCGTCCATGTAGTAATTATCCAATAGGAGGCTCATACCCATTTGCTTAGTTAAATCCAGGTGGAGACTCTTTTTGGCCCGGCAGTGTATATGTACTTTTTTTTTCTTTCCTCCTTCTAAATTTTGTGTGCACAGCTTATAGTGAGGAGCGCTCTATAGCCCAGAAATGATGGTACCTGAGCATGAGATTCATCAACTGAAGTCCTTCTCCTTTGAGGAAGCGGTCCCGATTGGAAGACAGCATCAGGCAGGAACACAGAGCATCAAACAGATTTTCCATCACCTCCTGCTCCTCGGCTGTATTTGGGTTGTGACGTTTGAACACCTGTAGAAAAAAAGGAAAGAGCAAAAGAACTAAGAAAAATGTGTAGTCCCACGTTTTAAACTTTTTATGTAAAGTTGGTTTTAAAAAAGCATTGAGTCGTTTGAAGAACTTTTGGCAACATTTTAAATTTGCTTCTTGTAAATAAAAACTGAAAAAACTGTGTAAAAAAAAAAAATAATAAAAACCTTTTGGTAATCATCAATTATTTTAATGATATGCCATACAAAGCCAATTTTTTGTAGGTTAATTGCACAGCTCCAAACGGGGCTAAAACTACCCCAACATCCATGAAACATGAAAGGTACATGAAAGAAAAACCAAACAAAACATAAAAGTTTGGTCTTACAGATAGCTGCTGCAGTAACACATCAATGCCATCCATTTCACCCAGTAACTCTCTGGTTGCTGTGAAAAAGAAGAAAAGATAACCAAACTACAAAATGCTGATGGCGTGTACAAAACAAGGCAACGAAAAGAATAGTTTTAGACAGCTGGACAAATCATAAAGAAGTAAATGAAGTAGCACTCCAGTTGAAACAAAAAACATTTTACTTCAGAAATTTGTATTTTTACTGCAGAATTACTTTGCTAAAATTTGTTAAAGAAGATGAACCTGGATTGTTGACGTTAAAACAAGCAGAACACAAATGCAGAGCACAAATGTAATCATTGTATAGCAACATGCTATGATGACAATCCATCGCACTTTCACTTTTAAACTAAAATAAGCAAAACCAGAGCCAAAAGTTAAAACTAGTAAAAGTGTAGCTCAAAGCTAAAACTATAACAAAAATCATAGCTAAAATTTAAAATGAGCTAAACAGATTTTAAAAGTGTTATCTAAATAATTGCCAAAAGCTAAAATTATCCCGAAAAAATAAACAAGACAATAAATAAAAGCTAAATTTAGCAAAAGTTAAAAGCTAAAAGGATCGTAAGAAGTCAAACACTGAGCAAATTTGCAGATGCAGATTTCAGAGAATGTTTTTGTCCGCAGCGACGCAGTGGTAGGGCAGGCGACTTGGGACCACATGTCACAGGTTTGATTCCCCATGCCAATATGGTGTCTTTAAGCAAGACACCTACTCACTAACTGCTCCCCAGGTGCTTAAATAGCTGCCCACTGCTCCACCTGGGTGTATCTCACAAGTGATGGGTTAAATGTAGAGAACAAATTTCATCACAGTATGACGACAACACGTAACACTTCATCTTTTACTTTTGATAGTACTGAATTATCTCATTGCATATCTATGGAAAGTTTTTGTAAATAAAAGTAAATATTTTAAAAAGTATAAAAGTTACAAGCGCAAAAAGTTAACTGCATAATAATCGTGGCTGCGCCCAACGGTTTGTTATTCAAGTGATTAAAATAGCACAACAAATGCTGAATTAGTTTGACTGCAAAGTGCAAGGCAGAAACTAAAAACACTAATATGATACACTAATATAGAAAGTGAAGACTAGATGTACATGATTTAAAGATATGTGATCAGTATAGAGCACGATAGCCATCAAGGGTTAAACAATAAATTAGCCATCATTTCACGTAGACTAGTTTTTGCACCACATAACCTCTGCTGATGATACAGTTGCACATTTTACCTTTCAGATCTGTGTTTTATGTCAAATTCAACAGCAAGAAGAGATAATTACATGCAAATTATGACTTCAAGCAATGTCAGTTTTTATGATAATTGGGTAAATTGCCTGGTTCTTACCTTAAACAACTGACAATATTAAACTTGGGATATTATCTGTGACAGCATACGTCTTTGTTTGGTAAAAAAAAAAATGGGTTGGGGGTTGGAATGCATAAGGGAGACTCATGATAGAAGCAGAACAAGTGATGGGTAGAGGAGTCGATGTAAAATGAGAAATGACTCCAGCTGCATGTCAATGTGGTTTGTAGCTTTAATGAGAACCTGTCCAAAGGCCTTTTGGTCCTGTGGCTATCTGATTTTACTGCTTTTTGGTGAGGGAGAGAAAGGGTGAAGGTGACAGCAAATACACCCACAGACAGTGGGGGGAAATGCAGGAAATTAGAGAACAAAAGAAAAGGAAGGAGAGGAGGAATACACAATTACATAGGAGGAGGAGGAACAAAAATATGAGATTAAGAAAGGACAGAAAGAACATAACGGGGTGATGCAAACAAAAAACTCAACTTAAAATGAGAAGAATACTAACAAAAGGAGAAGAACAAAGAAAAGAGAATAATATTTGAACCCCCATTTACAGAGATGCACTTACTGTCATTATTTTGCAACAAGATGGCCAGGATTTCACTGCAGTACAGCTTGTTAGCATCAAACGGCATCTTTGCCTGAAAGGGAAGGAGAGCGAAGTCCAATTACCACTCATCCTGAGAAACTCCGCTCTCTTGAGAATTACAAAACCACTAAGTATTCTGCAGGAAAATCTGCATTTTGTAACTTCAAGCTGAAACCTGGCTCATGCTGATTGGGCCTTATGCAGAGTGAAGCAGAGTATACAGCACTTCTAAATATATTTAGAACTTTGTTTATTTTATTCAAAACAACCCAACAGTGGAAAAAAAAAACAACTTTATTCCCACTTTACATCAAATAAAATCAGATGTGTTGAAATAAATATGAAACTACAGCAAGACAAAAGTTTGTGTCTATGATTGTTTGTCTGTAGTGTTAAAGTAACGTGTGAACCAATGGACACATTTTAATCAAACTCCCTAAAAGTAATCACTGGATGAACATCTGCTACTGATTGACTTTTGTAGATGATGCTTATAAAGATGGCTGCCACAGTTAAACGGCTCAGTAGCAGAAAATCATCCTCAACACATACTCTGAGGAGCTACCTAATCCTGCTGGATCGGTTTTTAAAATTTTACTGTTAACTTTTACAAGTTCTTAGAAAAATATTCATAAACCACTTGATGGACTTTAAATCAACTTTCAGAAATAAATCTTTATTTGTATATCTATAAAGCATTAACCTTCAGAGGCTGGCAGCCACAGTTAATTGACTTTAGCCAACACAAGAATCGGCTATAACTCAGTAAATTTCACTGATACAGTAGTCCCTCGCTACTTCGCGGTTCAACTTTCGCTGACTCGCTCTTTCACGGTTTTTCAAAGTAAGACTGGACTTGACACACAACTGGCTGATTGACTGATTGATGAGCCGCAAGATCGGCATGGAATTTTTTTTATTTAAAATTAATTATTTTAAATGATTTAGCACCTGTGTGAAGCCCACATGTGCAGGGAGAAGCTCCCTTCTGCAGCAAGTCCATCTCTGCTCTGCAGTGGAGAAGTGGGTGTGGCCAAGAGCACTGGCAGGTTTAAAATGACTTCATATATCTATTCACACATACAGTATAAATACTAAAATAAACTGCTACTTACTACTTGTACTACTATTCCTACTTCATGGTTTTTTACTTATCGCGGGGGCACTGAGAACGGAAACCCAGTGATAAACGAGGGACTACTGTATTAATCTAAATTGTTGAGAGAGTAGCCAAGCATCATTCTCATCACATACGTAGACCAGTACAGAATGCTAAATATTTTTGCTTAAAGCGCTGGAAAAAACCTGTTTGTTACCCAAATGAACCGCTGAATGGATTTTAAATAAACTTTCAGAAATCACTGGATATACTTTTACATCTGATGTACATTTTGAATAAAGTTGATATGCATATACATGTCAATTTATTAGCTTTAAAGTTGTTGTTTGATTTTCCCACACATATGAGATGATTTTGCCAAGTCTTCCTGTCAGGACTTACTTCTTTTTTTTTTTTTTACTAACACCTCATGAGTTCAGCTATTAATATGTAGGTTTTTTTATTATTATTCTGTGTGAACATAAAAGAAAAGCAATTATTAGACTAGTTTATGTGAAGTCCAGACATTTTTAAATGTAATATAAGGTTTAATTATCATTCATAAAGTAAATTTTGTAAGTTATGAAACAGGACTATATCATTTGTCCTAATAAAGCCCACAAATATTAAGATATTAGTATGAGGCAATATTGCCTTCAAAACGTTAAAATTCTAGTAATTAATCTCTTATTACAGTAATTGTTATTATTTTCTAATCTGCAGTCAGCTCCTGGTCCTTACCTTGATTCTCTTGAGCAGCCACTGCATGAGGCCCTGCTGGGCGGCTTCAGTGCACAAGCCAGGTCTGAATTCAGCCATGTTTTCTACGATGGCTGCAAAAATTACACAATGTCAAAAATTAAACTTCCACCTAATACTGGATCAGCTAACAAACTTAAATAAAAATTGTACAATTCTGATTGTGCTGATTTGATCTGGGTCAAAGAAGTCAGTGAAAAAAGCTGAACAAGACCAGATTTTCTCAGGAACATGCTCAAGATGCTTGTTAATATTATAAAGTATTGTAAAAAAGATTAGAAAATAAAAACTGGAATCTGAAATTTCAACTCAGTAGTGACCTCATGAATCGGATCTTTTATCCGCATGTTGGCCAGTCTTTGTAAAACCCAGGACCTCTAGTCCCTTTTTCCTTGTCGATCATCTTATTATTTCTGCAGTTCAACAAACATTAAGACTTCTGCTCGATATTTTTGCACACAAGAATACTACCATTATAGTTCTTTTTAATCAAAAGTGGATATTAAAACCCTCCATCAGTGAAAATTACCCTTTGATCAAGGACAGCAAGCTTTAGAAAAATGGATAGTTTGATTTTAACCGTCTTTTTTTGTTTTACAGTTATCATTAGAAAGCTGTTGTTTTTTTTTTTTTTGCAATTTATGTCTCTATCAGAGCAGATTGAAGTGGAAGAGAAAAGGGAGACATTATGAAATGGTAATGAAACGAGGGGAGAGGCAAACTCAGGAATGAGGGCAGAAGACAAGTGGAGGGGAGGGAAAAGGGTGGGAATACAAGCGAGAGATGAAAGATGCAAAAATGAAGAACCTCAGAAATGAGTAAACCAATACTAGTTTTTTTTTGTTTGTTTTTTTTTAAAAAGGAAGTGTAAAGAAAATAAAAATTAGACAAAGCATCTGGCTAGATGGGCTGCAGATGATAGAGAAATGTCTGAAAAACAGAATCGGAGGAGGAGAAGGAGCTGAGGGAGACCTTTATCAGGGATTCAAACAGAGCAGACAGACAGCATCCTGCAGGACAGAAAGCAGCCGTGGCAGACAAAAGGCTTATTCAAGCTTGGAGAGCTCCCTTGATAACTCCCTCTCTCACACACACAAACTTCAGAAGGTGCACAAGTGTTGCTCCAATAATGTGAGCTGCACACAGTGAGCCAAATACACACACCTAAACAGCCCTCCTGACACTCGGCCTCAATCTGGCAACAAAAAAAGAGAAATCATCTCAACAGAGTCATTCAACACAAAAAGAGCTGAGCAGCAAAAAAAAAAAAAGTCTGATTTATGTAGGGCTAAATACAGAGGCCACGACTTTTCAAACCATCTGCTCGTCTGTTCTCTTGGCTATCCACCTTATTCCTGGGGGCTCTACTGCATAAATGATTATGGTACAACTTCCTGTCAGACACAGGAAGGAACAGTAAGCATTGGTTAAATAGCGGAGCACGGACAGCGAGTTATTTGAAAGTACTTTGCATTCAGTTTAGCAGATAAAACACTGTTTTTGTTTTGTTCCCATTTATTTAACAACCATATAGTTTACTAAAATAGCCTTGTGGCGTTCAGGTAGAAGTTAAGTTCATGAGTTAAGGAGAAAACACACCTGATTTTTTAAAACGGATGCCACGACAAACAGCGAAACACAAAACAGTCTCTTAAAGGGGAGGCTTTAACTTCATAAGACTAGTTTATGTGAAGAGCTGTGTACAGTGTAAACCAGCTGTCCACGGTGAATTGTGTCTATAATGTCCTCCAAAGCTTGTAGATTTTGGGGAAATATGCATTATTGACACTTGGAGCAAACAGAAGGTTGCATGATGATGGTTTTTGAATTGCACCTGAGGTCTTGTGAGTCCACAGTGAGACAGAATCTTACTCATTTTATTTTCCGTCTTTATTCTTCCCCTCATACACAGTCGTATCCTTGAGGTATGAAGAAAATGTATTTGCTTTTAAAGCTTAGGAAGGAATGTAAGCTGTGAGACCTTCAGTGAACTGACCACAGGTGGATGAAAAAGAGAAATTAAAAGAGAGAGAAATTGTGTGTGTCCTGCCTTAAAATAGAAGCACACACATTTAAGGATTGCAGTGAAGAGTCTGAGGACTTAAAGGGCCAGAGACAAAAATTGGAAAAATACAGTGATCCCTCGGGGGGGACACGTTCCAGAGACCCCCTCGATAGGTGAAAATCCACAAAGTAGCAGCGTTACATTTATATATATATATATATATATATATATATATATATATATATATATGTATACATATATACATATACACACTCTAGATGTGCTCTTTATGTTTCTGTTTAAACAATTGCACTGAATATTTAAATGAGCTATTTTTTATTAATTTCAGTGCAAAAGTAAAGTCTCTGCAGCGCTTGCTATGGGCAGAAAATGTCCCAGATTTCTCCCAGTTTTCTCCAGTTTTTAGTCAAAACGAAAGCACATAGGTCTGCAGTCATTGTCCGACAGGATAGCTCAGCGGAAGCTTTGCACCCATGAGCTGCGAGTTCGTATCCGTTCCACGACCGCCCCATTATTAATATACAGTGTGAAAGTACTACAAAAAAATAGGTTGTGGATTAAGTGTCATGGGTCGAGTTGCATAGGCGGCTGTGGCTGAGTGGATAGAGCGGTCGTCCTATAATGCAAGAGTTGGGGGTTCGAATCCACCAGCAGTCACATGCCAAAGTGTCCCTGGGCAAGACAGTGAACCTCTCATCGCCTCTGATGTGTGTCCCATCAGTGTAGGAATGTGTTCTAAAGCACTGTAGTCTCTTTAGAATGATTTGTTTAATTAGCTTTGTATAAATATAGTAGAGTGCTGTATGAATGAGTAAATGAGGGCACATATTGTGTTGTAAAGTGCTTTGAGTGTCTTAAGATAAAAAGGTGCTATATAAGTACAGTCCATTTACCAATTACCACTGAAACATCGTCCGTACTACTGATTTACTTGTAAATTCATATTCATGTCATTAACAATCAGTCAAACATTTGGACACAACTATTTTATTTCTTAGCAGATGTTTGGCAAAATTATTACTGAAAATAATTGTCCTTTTCCAAAAAAAATTTAAAAATATATTTGTGGCAAGGAGATATAAAGAAGATACATTTCCAAATAATGAGTTTTTCATTGTGAATTTTCTAAATGCTGCAAACCTGATCAATTTAAACTTGAAGTTAAGCCTGAGGTGGGTGTTGATAGTTTCTTTATGAGTCAATTAATCTGAATTGTTTTCTATGTTTAATACACTCATGTTGTATTTGATCAAACTAAGAGCTTTTCACTGATGCAACGCAAATGGCTGTGGCGTAGAGCAACCACATGCTGGAACACCCACACGAGAAAAACAAGGAAACTCTACAAAAACAAAAGACCTGGCTAAACAACAGCTTCAAACCAGAAACCTTCTTACTGAGGCTACAGTATCCACTGCAGTGCTGCGCATAATGTAGTCCTACATAAAATATTTAACATGCAGAGAAAAAATATATAGTGTTAAAAAAATATGGCATCACACATTTACACAGAAACACTGCAGCCACAGGACAGAAGCAGGCTCTGTCCAAACAACTGTTCCATATTTCATCTCTGGAACCAGATTTGTGGGTTTATCACAAAAGCCAGTTTAAAACAGGATGAATGTTTGGAAACAACGTTCCCATTTCAGCACTTTCAGACGCGTTTTGCTTCTATTGGATAGGTGACAAAGAAATGGCTCTGACTCGTGTTTTCCTTCTTTAAATATTTAAGTCAGTTTGTTTCAGGCTGTGATAACCAAATCTGCAAAAAAAAAAAAAAATGGTTGAAGCTTTTGCATAGTAATTTGTCAAACAAACAAACATTTATTTGAACCCAATACCTGGAACACTACACAACTTTAAACATTACTGGATCTGAATGGAACCAAACTGAGCAACAAACACGCTACATTGGGGCAGCTGTGGCTGAGTGGTAAGAGCAGTCGTCCTCCAATGCAAGAGTTGGGGGTTTGATTCCACCAGCAGACACATGCCAAAGTGTCCCTGGGCAAGGCACTGAACCCCTCATTGAATCTGATGTGTGTCCCATCAGTGTATGAATGTGATAAAGCACTGATTAGTCATTGCACAGATCTAGTAGAGTGCTGTATGAATGGGTAGATGAGAGCACAGATTCTAGTGTAAAGAGCTTTGAGTATCTCAATAAGATAGAAAAATGCTATATAAGTACAGTCCATTTACACTATACAGGTGCTGGTCATAAAATTAGAATACCATGAAAAAGTTTATTTATTTCAGTAATTCCATTCAAAAAGTGAAACTTGTAAATTATATTCATTCATTACACACAGACTGATATATTTCAAATGTTTATTTATTTTAATGTTAATGATTATAACCGACAACTAATGAAATCCACAAATTCAGTATATCAGAAAATTGTGAAAAGGTTCAATATAGAAGACACCTGGTGCTACACTCTAATCAGCTCATTAGCTCAAAACAATTGCAAAGGCCTTTAAATGGTCTCTCAGTCTAGTTCTGTAGGCTACACAAGCATGGGGAAGACTGCTGACTTGACAGTTGTCCAAAAGACGATCATTGACAACTTGCACAAGGAGGGAAAGACACAAAAGGTCATTGCTAAAGAGGCTGGCTGTTCACAGAGCTCTGTGTCCAAGCACACTAATAGAGAGGCGAAGGGAAGGAAACGATGTGGTAGAAAAAAGTGTACAAGCAATAGGGATAACCACACCCTGGAGAGGATGGTGAAAAAAAAACATTTCCAAAATGTGGGGGGATTCGCTAACAGTGGACTGCAGCAGGAGTCAGTGCTTCAAGAACCACCATGCACAGATGTATGCAAGACATGGGTTTCAGCTGTTCCTGTTCCTTGTGTCAAGGCACTCTTGAACAAGAGACAGCATCAGAAGTGTCTTGCCTGGGACTGCTGCTGAGTGGTCCAAAGTTAAATTCTCTGATGAAAGTAAATTTTGCATTTCCTTTGGAAATCAAGGTCCCAGAGTCGGGAGGAAGAGAGGAGAGGCACAGAATCCATGTTGCTTGAGGTCCAGTGTCAAGTTTCCACAGTCAGTGATGGTTTGGAATGTCATGTCGTCTGCTGGTGTTGGTCCACTGTGTTTTCGGAGGTCCAAGGTCAACGCAGTTGTCTACCAGGAAGTTTTAAAGCGCTTCATGCTTCATGCTGCTGACCAACTTTATGGAGATGCAGATTTCATTTTCCAACAGGACTTGGCACCTGCACACAGTGCCAAAGCTACCAGTACCTGGTTTAAGGACCATGGTATCCCTGTTCTTAATTGGACAGCAAACTCGCCTGTCCTTAACCCCATAGAAAATCTATGGGATATTGTGAAGAGGAAGATGTGATACACCAGACCCAACAATTCAGAAGAGCTGAAGGCCACTATCAGAGCAACTTGGGCTCTTATAACACCTGAGCAGTTCCAAAGACTGATTGACTCCATGCCACACCGCACTGCTGCAGTAATCCAGGCAAAAGGAGCCCCAACTAAATATTGAGAGCAGTACATGCTCATACTTTTCATGTTCATACTTTTCATGTTCATACTTTTCAGTTGGCCAACATTTCTAAAAATCGTTTTTTTATTGGTCTTAAGTAATATTAAAATTTTCTGAGATACTGAATTTTGGGGTTTTCATTAGTTGTCAGTTATAATCATCAACATTAAAGAAACATTTGAAATATATCAGTCTGTGTAATGAATGAATATAATATATAAGCTTCACTTTTTTAATGGAATTACTGAAATAAACCAACTTTTTCATGATATATTTCATGACCAGCAACTGTATTGTGCTGATTTGTGCATGATAATATTTTTATTGTTATTATTATAGTGAGCTAATTTTCCCATTTTGATGTGCCGTACATTTTCTTACCCAATGTGTTATGGATGCCATCAGCCTCCTCTTTCACTTGTTCATCCAACCGCTCCATATTCTGCACCAATAAGGCCACCACTTGTCCCTCCAACTGCAGACAAAGATGGAGTTAGTCCAATCTGACATTTTATTTGCTACAACTCTACAAAGGTTAAATAGCACAAATAAAAACGCACACAATAAAAATGTATTCAAACAATCTTTAAATACATTCAGTTTTTAATATATATATAAAAAAAGAGCACACGTTGAAGAACAACAGAGTGGTATTTTACTTTTAGGTCAATATACATTTTAGAGGAAGAAACTTGAAACATTTCAACAGAAGCTCCGACGGGAAGCAAGTGTTATCAGTCAAGTCAAGATTGGAGCTTCAACCAAACAAAGATTGTAGGGTCCCAGTGGCCTGGATGAAAGTACTATAACAGATGAAAGAAGATGGACCGTCAAAGCAGATTTATAAGCCACAGAGACTGCTGGGAGTCATTTTGATTTATCTTATCAAGGATAACACCTGGCCTTCTGGCAGCAAGGACAGATAGGCTGCAGGCATTACAGAACACAGTGGAGACAAATGGAATCAACCAACCAAGCTTGCTGCCCTGAAACTGTTTCCCTGCGATGCAGCTGTAAAGAACACTGAGGTTATGGGCGCTCCATTGCATGGTAAATGGACTGAATTTGTATTATGCCTTCATCCTGGGAGTGCTCCCAAGCCACCTGAGCTGCTATCTCACCCACTATCATGCAAGCAACCAACTCACCAACACACACAAAAATGTACTTGTCTTCAAGAAATATCTACCTTATTTCTGCTAAATATGATTATCCCTGTTGGACATTAACCAGCTTGTAATTTAAAATAAGAAAGCCCTCAACATAACCCAATAATTTTCAGTCAGGTCATCTGGACAGTTTCTTTTTTTGTTTTGTGCTGAAACATTTCACCTTCCATCCAGCAACATAACTACGTTCCATATAGTTCTAACGCTGTTTAGCATTTTCATCAAGGATAGAGTAAGTTGTTGTTTTGATAAAAATTTAAAAAAAAGGTCAGGCTCTCCTACAAGAGCTGGTTCCAGAATAGGGCTTCCAGTACAGATCTACAACTATCCAGAATTTATATTTAAAAAGCATAAAACTAAGAGGAATAGGAGCAGACTGCTTGAATAGTTGCCCCTTTTGTCACTCAGCAGTCAGGTTTGGGTAAACTTGCACCCATATTCAGGGTAAAAATGTTTAGAAAAATCATAAATCACAAATATCAGTCAGCATTTATTTAACTATTTCTGCATCACACAGAGTTCATAATTACAAATGTAAACAGGGTTAATAAATGCCAGTAGACAATTTTAAAACATTAAAAGGTATTTATAAATGCAGTTAACAGCGGGCAACATTGTAGAAATGATAGTTCTAAAAAAAAGATTATTTTTTTTACATTGTAGACTTCAGAAACTAAAACAAGCTTAAAAATAAATTAATATTGAAATAGTGAAATTTGGTTTTGGTTTATGATTTTATGATAGTTGTTTATCTTGTACAAAAGCAAATCCGTTCTTAATTTATTCTAATTTTAAACTTGCACCCCTATTCTGAGTACATGGGTTTAAAAGTGCTTTTAAGACACTGCTGCAATTCATGAAATTAGTACAAAATGTATTTGATTTAACTTCATCACACTAACAATGTCAAAAAACTTCTGAACTTTCTTGGTATTTTCAGGCTCAAAATGCAGTAAACATTTCTACACCCAACGTTTATACGCTTATATTGGTTTCTACGACAAAAATAGGAGATCCAAACAACTGCCTGATCATAAATACACTTTTCAAGTTCTGTAAATCTAAAAAAGGTATTTTTTTAATGAACTTCCATTGACGTAAAACTATCAACTTGATCATTTAATTCTGAGGAGGAGATTGCTTTGGTGTTACAGAGAAGTCATGATGAATCTAACAGCATGCCCAAAATTATATTATTCAACTTTGAATATGAAAAAAAAATATATATATAGAAAAAGTGGTCACTGCCAACAGTGAGAGATAAGGCAACAGAATCTTTGATGAAGAGTCATAGTGGCAGCCATGAAGAAGCAGGCCCTCAGTTCCTTCCTCCATTAAAAAGGTCTAACTGCACATTATTGCACTTTGACCTTTGTGTGTGTTGCTGTAAATGTCAGAAAGCATAATGGGATATGAACAATATTGATGCCACATGATGTAGGTGTCTCTCAGCTTCACAGACTGTGTAATAGGCTAAACTAGAAAATAAAGAGGTTGAAGTGGAAAAGACAAAAAGTTTGATAAACTGACAACCATAGTCAGAAGTTGACAAGAAAATCTAAAAATGGAAAACTGGAGGCTATGATCACATAAGCACCATTAGGGCTGGGTGCTAAAACAATTTTTAAACGAAATAGCATTTAAATTATTGTTGATTTTAGTGATGAGTGTTTTATGTTTTCAGTCTAAGAATCAATGAGATTAAACAGCATTTCCCTCAGCACAAACAAACAGGACAACAAGCAATGCTCAACAACTTTGGCCATTACGTGAAAATACTGTAAGGTTTTGTTTGAGCTGCTGGTGGCAACAACGGCTGTGGACTGGAAATGGAAACATTTCAGAAGAACGAGAAGAAAGGGGTGGAATTCTGCAAAAACAACCAGAAACAGCATTTACAAACAGTTATATCTGGGCAGACTGATTGGGTAAACTTACCGATCCATTCATCTTTTTGTTATGCAGTTATTTAGAACAGTTTCCGTTTATTGCAATGGTTCATTCAGTGAAGCGAAGCAAGCGAGCTCTCCAGGCTTTTTGTTATGACGCATTTGTAGTCTTGCATTTTCAAAAACCCCTTCCCTCTTAATGTACAGTTGGGTACAATAACCAAAGCAAGATAAACTACAGAAATTGCATTTCCTGCAAAAATGCAGTGTGAATGCTTATTGCTAAAGAACTTGCTGAAAAACAGCTGAAATTAGCTAAAAAAAAAATGCTGAAATGTAGCTGAAATGAAAGAACAAGCCTACATTAGCAGAACAAAACAGAAAGAACACATATTTGCTGAAATGGGTTTAGATAAACAGAAATTAGTACAAAAATTAGGAAATCAGCTAAAAAAAATGCTCAAATTAATAAAAACAAACATCTAAAACGTAGCTGAAAAGGCAGAAAGAAGTTTAACCTACGAGAAGGAAGTGGAAAGAGCTGAAATGAGCAAAAAAAATGTGGAATTAGCTGAAAATATTTAAAGTTTGAAAAAATAACAGCTAAATAGTAGCTGAAATAGCAGGATAAGATTAAACTATATCTATAATGTGCAATATAATTGTGAAATACTTGTATTTTTTTTACTTTCATTATTATATCTATATTGCGTTATTTTTTATATTTTAGTGTGTGTTTAGTGTGTGTTTTCTTAAGGCGTGTTTTTGCACTGAAAAAAGGAGTGGCTCTTAATTTCATTGTACTGCGTATAATGACAATAAAGGCATTCTAATTCTGAAACTAGCAGAAAAAACTGAAAGGAGCATAAGCTGAAATTAGTAGAAAGAAGCTAATTAGGCTGAAAGTAGCAGGAATTACCAAGAAAAGCTGGAATTAATATGAAAACAACTAAAATTAGCTGAAATTAGCTAAATATTCTAAAATGGAAAAGCTGAAAAGTTAGAACAAGCTTAAATTAGCAGAAGAAAGCAGAAAGAACACGTTTGGAAAATAGCACAAAAAAGTAGACATTATCTGGAAAAAAAAGCTGAAATTAGCAAAGAACAGCTGAAAAGTATCTAAAAAAAGCTGAAAGCTGAAATTACAAGAAGGAAGTGAAGAGAGCACATTTTTGCTGAATTAGGCTGAAAAAAGTTAAAATGGGTGCAAAAAATGTGAATTAGTCGAAAAAGCTTCAATTAGCATTACAACAGCTATTATTCAGGTCCTATTTCAGCTATAGTAGCTGAAATAGTAGAAGCTGAAACTCGCAGAAATAAGTTGAAAGAAGCATAACAAGCTGATATTAGCAAAAATAAGTTAGAAAAAGCACAAAAAAAATTGTATTTAGCAAAAACAATCTGAAAGGAGCACAAATCAACTGAAAAAACAGCTGAAAGCTGAAAAAAAAAAAAGATTAAATTTGCGCAAGGAAGCGAAGCAGAACAAAATGTGAAAGGAGCAGTAAAAGGTTGTAAACAGATCTAAAGATATGAAAGATGTAAAATGAGCTCAATTCATTTTCTATGAGAACGAAATGTCAGAAAAGGCTAAACATTTCAAACAGCTAAAGTTGCACCAATAACAAAAGCAGGATTGTCCTGAAAGAGCTGAACTTTTCGATTTTTGAATTGTTGAAATAACTTGAAAACTGCAGAACGAGAAATGTACGGAAGAAAAATGGATCACGCTTGTGTGAATGCTTCATAAACATTCACACAACAAGAAAACACCTAGTCCACATGTATCAGTTTCAGGATGCCATACACCCACTACTGGCAGAGAGAAGGAACAGATTGTAACGTTCTTGAACTAATGAGCCATCCATCATCTTTTACCCGCTTCTTCCTTTTCGGATCGTGGGGGTCACTGGTGCCCATATCCAGCCATGAGAGGCAGGGTACACCCTGGACAGGTCACAATCCGTCATAGTAACTGTCATGGACTTGGAACTCTAATGATATATGTAAAATGGTGCAAATAAATTTGACCCAAAAGGAGTTTCAATAAACCTTCCAGTAGTCTCCGCAGTCAGTGCACAAGCCAGAAGGCTGACAAATGCATTAATGTGTGTGAAACAAGGAGGCAACATGACAAAAACAACACAAAGGCATTCTGATGTAGCCGTTTTGGTCAAATCTTGGAAATAATGTGCGCAATTTCATGCAATATCACAAGAAGTCAAACCCAAAATATGGAATTTGAATGACTCTCAGCTACTTTCACATCAAATTTCAGCTCAAAATCTGTAAAACTGACCGAGTTATAGACATTTTTATGTGTTTTTTTTTTTAAGTCGGACGTGTGGCAGCCATCTTGAATCAAAGACAGAGAAAAACAGTATCGCCCATCTTCACCTTTCAGCAGCAGCCAATAATTATGTGCAATGCAAACTGCAATAATATTATAAATGCATACAAATTTACCTCAGAAGCACTTTGGGCATGTGTCAACTGAACTGACACATCCATACAATGACAAAAGAGAGAAAAACTGATCAAAATATTTATTTTAAAAAGTTTGCATTCAGTGCCAAAATGTATTAAAAGGTACAAAAGGATAAAAACAGCAAATCACTGTAAAACTCTCGGCTTCTCAAAAATTCAAGTGATCAGTGCCAACTATTATATTTCTCATTATACAGTATTAAAACATTAAATATAGACAAAAACTGTCTTTACAATTTTTTATCAAAAACACAACCCTCAAAAAAATCTAAATGTGAGCAGCAGTCAACACAAGATCTGCTCTGTAATCATTAAAAATGATTAAGTAATCGATTCTTCTGTCTAGTTGAGATGCAGAAGCCCAGAAATTTAAGTATTGATCCATTAAGTGTAGTTTCATCAATATGAACGTCTGATGTAAATTTTGAACTCACCAGAGCATCTATGAGCACCTCAGCACCCTCCTCACTCTCATGGAGTGTGTCGATATCCGTCAGCTCCTGCAGCAGGTCCACCACGGCTATGGCAACATGTGGCTGGTGTTCAGGATCATAAACACACCCAGTTAGAGTCACACTTCTTCAACAGCCCCCAAACAATCAATCGTTATTGATGATCCTCGTTTTATGTCAAAACCTGACTGTTGAGTAGAACGAAGCTTGCTCTGAGATTTAAATGGGATTTTAAGAAATGCTGTAAATTTTAAATCTCACAGTCTTAACGGTTTGTTTGCTCCATGTTTAAGCTAAGACTGTCGGAGACGCACAGTCGTGAGAAAATGGGCAAATTATCTGTTGCGGTCTCACTGAATTCCTGAGCGGCTGCCTCCACATCAATAAATTAGTCTACTGAAGTTCACTTTTTAAATAAATGGGAAGTTTAGAACCAGTTTTGAAAAAAAAAAATACTGTTTTCAGACCTGGACTCCTGCACAGGAGTCAAAATTCAGCTCAAGCGCTCATGAGATCAATTTTAAGACGGCCACAACAATTCTATTTTGAAAGATTATTTGCTGCCTTCATTTTGTGAGCATGACAATAAAAGCAACAAGGTTGTTGTGCGCCTCTGCAAATAACATGTGGAAACTAAAAACTGGCTTCGCTAAACCCAGTGAGGTACTGGCTTTGGTGATCATTGATGTACATAGTTGTTAATTTAATTTTAGTTAAGGTTTTTAAGTTTGTTGTTCTCAAACTTAGCTCTTCCAACATAATAAAATAAAATTCCTAAAAGTCTTGAGAGCGTATTCCAGTTTGTGTCAGTAACAATAAAATTGCACGAGTATGTTGTTGCAGGATTTGGTCAATTACTTGGACCATTATCTAAATAAATAAAACACAACCATCAGAAATGGGGAATCATCTTTCAATGAAAAGTCTTTGTTTTAAAACTAACTGAAAATAATTTGGTTAAATTGAGTCGTTACAACCTCGGAGGGAAACCACAACATATGCAACATGCCATTACTTATTCAACAAAAACAAGAAAAAAATAAACATTGATGTATACATGAAGAGTTTTTATCTCTTAAATAAAAATCTTTTATGCATTTTTTGAGAGGAAAAAATGAAAAACATCATAATATGTTGTGATTTATCAAGAAGTGGCTTCAAAAAGTTTAAATCAGTGGTTCTCAAACTGTGGTCCCCAGACCCTCGGGGGTTCACGAGCCAGTGCTGGGGGGCTCCAAATTTTTTTTTAACAAGCATGTAGATGTTTAACAACTTGTTAAAGTACACCAAAATGCAGAAAACCACATCTATTTTTTTGGGGAGGGGGTGAGATCACCAGACACCCCACACACACACTATTTGCGTTCCGGCATCAAATTAAGCCCGGTTACTTGGTTTGACTACTGCTGTTATGATTCTGCTCAGTTTTCTGTAATAACCTGAAGAAGTGTCAATACATTTATTATGTGAATAGGTAAAGTTTTAAAGTGGTTTTCGATGCTGTTAATTTTCTCAAAACTGTAATTTTTGGAAGTTGAAATTACATTTTTTGTTAATTAAGTGTGTCTTGAATGGAAAATACACCCTCTTTAAAAATATAAAAATTGTATTAACACTATTAAAGAACAGGTCTTAAGTATTTATGTTACACAAATATTTCAATTACATTAAAGAGACAAATTGAAGAAAACTATTTAATAAACATGAGGGTTATGAGGGGTTCCTGAAACTTTTCTCCACTGTCCATGAACACAAAAAGTTTGACAACTCCTGGTTTGAATGAGAGCAACAATAATGATTTGTAAGTTGGGGCGTGATGCATCTTCCTTCCTTTTCATCATGACTCTAATCCATTACAATAATGACAATCTCTTCGAGGATCAAGCTTAATACACAGAAGAATCCTGATATAGACCAATGACTTCTTCAATAAGTTTCTAAAAGGATATCGGTGTTTTCATGACCAAGAAGACCCAACAGCGAGTGGACGGAATTAAGCTCCACCAGCAGGTGGTAGAGATCCGGCATTGTGGCGATCACGTGCATTTCTTGAATAATGTCGTTCAGATCCAGTTCAGACTCCATGAACCTTGTTCAAAAAAAATAAATAAAGAAATGAAAGTTTGAAGAGTGCGTCAGCATTCACGTTTCTTATATTTTAATTTGGATTATATAGGCATTATTGGAGCAACTTATAGCCATGTGCATAAAACACGTAACACATCCCAAAAATATAGAAACATTTTCTGTTTCATAATTAAAATGTTGCTCTGGAAAATGTGACTTTTAACTAACTTGGTATTTACAAAGAAAAAATCTGGATGGTCATAAATGATCTTACTTTTCTGGATTGTCTGGAAACTTAATCCTCAGTTCCTGGTTTTTGTAAGACCTTTTCTCAAAGGTCAGGATCATTTTCTTCACGGAGCTCTCGTCAACTGGCTCAGCCTGTTTGATTAGTGCAAAAGGTGCAAAGGAGGAAAAAAGGGAGAAAAGGAAAGGAAGAACTTTATTGAAGCAGCTGTTACAATAGCAAAGAGCCATCAGGGTGACCTTAATTATGTGAGTGGAGCATATACGAGGTTTTTTTCTTCTTCTTCATCAAATCAGAGAAAATCTAAGTATATTTCACTGAAAAGTGAATGCATTTGACCTCCTGACAGCTTAAAAGCTGTAAATTGCTGCACAGATAATGACCAGTTCGGACATTTTAACTGCCTGACATTACGAACAATGCAGCTCCGAGAACCTCTTCAAAAGGAATCTTTCAAAAAGGGCAAAAGTAGAATCATAAAAACTTAATTATAGATCTACAGTTTTTAAATGTGATACACCTTATGGCACAATTGGAGATGAGAATCCCACAAAAAAAAAAAAAGAAAAACCTCAGATTCACCTTTACACTGTCAGTTGTATCAGTATCTCAAGTCTTGATGGAGAAACCTTTTACAAGCACACATTTTGCTAAGAAGATTTGAAAAGTGTATTTTCTATGGTCAGTTTGCTATGGCAGCCATCTTCAATCAGATTGGCTACAATAGTTAATTGGTTGAAGAGGTACTAGACACGATTATTATTTCCTGGAAGTTTCATTTTAGTCTATCCAGTGGTTCATGAGATCTTGCTAACAGACTCCAAAAAGTTAAAAGCAAAATTCCTCCTCTTTGTAAACTAACTTAAGATGTGTTGAATTGCTTGTTTATGGATATCTAAAGCTTGAAATTCAACATTTAATTTTCACTAAGCTTTAATAATCTGACATAATCATCAATTTGACACCTTACTGCTAAACATATAAATCTGTTTGCTGCCCAGAAGCTGGTTATGAATGTAGTTAAAGCTACTACAGTAGCCCCTCATTTATCGCGGGGGATCCGTACCCTGAAGCCCCACGATAAGTGAAAAACTGTGAAGTAGGAATAGTAGTATAAGTAGTAAGTAGTAGCTTTTTTTAAGGGATTTTAAACCCTTCCTACTCTTTTGCAATATTCTAAACAATGTTTCTAAACTCTAAATGCTCTAAAAGAGCACAGAACGTCATGATTTCAGCTCCCTGCCTCAGCTGCTTTGTGCCACCTGCAAGCGCTCTTGGCCACGCCCACTTCTCCACTCTGCAGGAGATCATCAGCTGATCAGCTGCAGGAGGAAGCTTCTCCTGCAGAGGTGCAGCAGGTGCTAAATAATTTAAAATAATTGATTTTAAATAAAAAATTCCATGCCGATCATGCGGCTCATCCATCAATCAGCCAATTGTGTGTCATGTAAAATCTTACTTTGAAAAACCGTAATAAAGCGAGTCCGCGAAAAACGAACCGTGAAGTAGCGAGGGACTACTCTATACAGATCTTACCTAGTTAAAAGAAAAAGTAAACAGATTTTGACTCAAGCATTTCTGTAACAAACTATGATTTGTTCCACTGGTGATTTTTGGGAAGTAACATTTTCAAGTACAAATTCTAGATGAAAATTGTGCAAAATCAACTTGTAAAAACTGTACATAGATATTCCCCACCTCAAGTTCTTCCTCAACCTCATCCATCAGTTTATCCAAAATCATCTTTCCGTCTCCAGTCAGCTCTTCAGTTTCTCTCATCTCAGCACCTCCTTCAGCTTCTCTGTATCTGGCCAGCTCTTTAGCTGCCAGACCTTTTATCTGTTTGCCTCCTCTGGAGTTGTCCTCTTCTCCTCCTCCTCCTCCTCCTCCTCCTCCATCCTCCTCTCTTGGACGCTTAGCTCCTCTGTCAGGCTAAAAACAAAGAGAGTCAACGATGGACATGGAATTGAAGTTATATACGTAAGGCATGTTGCCTGTACAACACTGCAAAAATTAACTTGGCAGATTGTGAAGAATTGCAATATTTATTTCCCCTTTTTCAAACAGTTTTAAGCTTAATTTTAATGAACGTAAACAACATCAAAATCAGCTGGTCAGAAATGTGCATAATCAAAAGATTGTAGTTGGCCAATTCTTAACTAAATGGTTTGTGATGCAGCATGTGAGTAAACTGCCACTGTTCTGCTTTTCAAAGTTTTATTAAACTCTACTGACATCAAGTTCAAAATGAAAAATATTTTTTCTAATAGCATACATAGTTGCAGTGTTTGATTATTTTTGCTAACCATTTACAAATATAGTTTAATTTTAGGCCAATTTCTTTGAAACTATCCAAAATCTGAGTCGATATCAATGTGCAACAACGACTAATGCTACTCACAGACGAGGTGAATGACTGTCAGCATGTCACAAAATAATCCTATGTTGGAAATATTCAAGGGGACGTTACCGAACATCGCCAGCTCTAAATACTACAAGGTAGGTCTGTTTTTTTAAACACCAAATATTCAGAACAGTTAGATGAATTCAAGTTAAGGCATAGTATCACCTCGATGCACCCGATGAATAATGATGTTTAGGAAGTAATGTCTAGACTGGACTACTGCAGTCTGCACTGGTTTGTTATTTGGGTGTCCAGAACTTATTTAAAAAGTCTTCAGTTGATCCAAAATACTACTGCCAGAGTGTTAATGAGAGTTAGTAGGAGAGATCATATTTCTTCAGTTTTAGCTTCTCTCCATTGGCTCCCTGTCAAATTCAGAATAGAATTAAAAATATTACTTCTAACTTACAAAGCTCTCAACAACCTAGCTCCATCTTATACTGCAGCACTTTTCCATATTTTCCTAACAAAGCATTTTGGTCTCAGACTGCAGGCTTACTTGCAGTTCCTAGAATTTTCAAAGAGAGGAAGATCTTTCAGTTATCAATTCGATTCTGGAACCAACTTCCAGTTTCTGTCCATCAGGCTGACACGTTTTTAAGACTGGGCTTAAGACTTTCCTTTTTGAATCCTATATTTAGTCGGCTTGGTTTTCTGACCAATTCCTTATCCTATGCTGCTATAACCTTACGACTACTGGAGGACAAATGGCCCTCATTTCATCAGATGAATAGTTCCAAATAAATACAAACGAATAGTTTGTATTTGTAATTATTCTTTCCTAACATGTGATTCTGTCTGTTTGTCTTTCCTCCTAGAGAATAACCTGATGGCCTCTGTCCTGGAACTGTCATTGTATGTTTGTTTCTCCTGCCTGTCCTTTTTGGGCCTGGGCAGTCTGGACAGATGGCTGCTTGTCCTGAGACTGGTTCTGCTGGAGGTTTCTTCCTCATGAGGGAGTTTTTCCTTTCCACTGTTGCATCCGTGCTCGCTTAGGATGGGAGACTGTGACAAAGTGAAAACTCGAAGCAATTTGCTGGCTCCTTAGATAATATAATATTGTTATTAATTGATTTCTTATGTATGTGAATGTTTCTGTTCAGTGCCCTGAGACGACTTCTGTTGTGATTTGGCACTATATAAATAAACTGAATTGAATTTTTCATTCAACCTTCATTTAGACAGGTAGACAGGAATTAATGGGGACCACAAAAATTAGAGCAAAAATGAAAATATCTGTGAAAACTGAGGCTAAAGACGATATTTTAATGTTTCATTTTGCAGAATGTTAACTCATTGACAGCCTGTAGCAGCAGTGTCTTCAGATGAGACGCAGTAGTAATTTAATCACCTGTCTGTCGCTTTTGGAACATAACTAACTTTTCTACATCTTCATGAGCTAACGTGCTAAATATAATGTTATTTGACACAAAAACGTTGTTGCACTGCCGTGCAAGCCTTTCATATTAATTATTTTCAGCCTGAAAAGCGACAAAAAAGTAAATACGAGGCTAACCTAATTATCTGTAAGTTTGAGGAAGGCAGATAACCAAATGACCGAAATCGCGTTCACAAACATGTATTTTGAGAAAAAATGTTTACCTGATAGTTCAGAAGCTCTCCGACATCCATTTCTCTGAGTTAGAAGGTTGCGCCGTAGAGAAATTGTGATTAAGAATAGAAAAGAGCCTGCACTAACAGCAAATCTGCTAACAACGAGCTAGTATGCTCTCATAAACATGCCGATGTTGTGCCGTAAAACGCACTCCTACCGTAAAGCAAAACTAAAATGTCGTAGTAACTCACGACAGTCGCGGTCGACTTTTGCGGTCGCGAGCTGAGAAATACTTTGTATCTTAGTTTTACTAAATGTTCGCATTTACATAAAAATATATTTTACCAATAAAATATTTATTTAAATTATTATATATTTATTATTTATTTCGCAACATTAACATAAAGTTAAATGTTAATGTTGCGCTATAACTAATGTGTCCTGATCAATATGCAGACTATAATTGAAACTGGCCCAAAGCTTTTGTTACTTGAGTGCAGTTTAGACATTATAATTACCTTAATCAACATATCTGTTGTCTTTTGTTGAATGCACCAAAAAACAAAACATTTTGTAACATATCATACTGCAGTTAATTATCTTACTGCCAGCTTCATTGCAAAATGTTTTTGCAACATATTTTGAGCAATTTGAGGATTATATAAGACAACACTTGTCATTGTCATAACATTTTTTGCTAAATTTGACCAAAACGGCAGTAAGTGTGATATACATTTCTATACAGTACTAAGCCTTTAATTTTGTTTTGTAGTTGCATATTTTTACAAAATGCGTGCAAATATTTTTAAAAGTTACTTCAGTGATCACTGACAATACAGCTCAACTGGGATGTGCCATGCCTCTCAGCAACACTGAAATAAGCTCCCATAACAGTTCTCTTCAGGTCCACATCCACAAAGTCCCAGCCTGGCGGGCTCAATTTTCCTGTATTCATAACAGGAGGCATTTAAATGCCAAGATCTCTTACTGTTCCAGACAAGCAGAAAATCACCCTTTTATTGAGAATCACTGTGAACTGTATGAGTGGAGGATGGTGTAGACGCCTCTGTTGCCACTTCAGGCTCTGGTCAGTGATCTGTGACAGAAGAGCAATAGAAACATTCAAAAGGAAGACCACTGCCAAGCAGCGAGGCTTGGCACCCAATAGCACTGTATTAAGGGAAAGAGACGGTGTGAAAGCAAATATGAACAATTAAAAACTTAATCTGTGATGAAATTTAAATATCTGAAGTATCATAATCATTTTAGATTAATACAAATTAAATTTTCTGGAACCAGGATGGAAAAATAATATGGACAAAATGAATAATTAAATTATCAAATTAAATTTAAATTATTAACTCCTCTGCCTCAAGCGGAGGCATTCAAGTATCTGGGAGTCTTGTTTGTGAGTGACGACAGCACAGAGCAGGACGTGAATCAACAGGTTGGGGACTTGTCTGCAGTAATCAAGGTGTTGGTCCAATCTATCATAGTGAAGAAGAAGCTGAGCCAAAAGGAAACGTATTCCATTACCTGGACAACGTATGTTCCAACCCTCACCTGTGGCCACAAGGTATGAATCATGGCCAAAAGAGTGAAATCCTGGATACAAGCAACTGAATTGGGCTCCCTCCATAGAATAGCCAGTCTCAGAGATAAGGAGTGGAGCTACGTCACCCAGGGGAGAGAACTGCTGCTCCTCCACATCAAAAAGAGTCTGGATGAAGTAGTTTGAGGAAGGATGCCTCCCTTTGGAGGTTTTCTGGGTATGTCCCACAGGTAGGAGAACTCTGGGCAGACCCAGAACTCTCATGAAGAATTATCATAGGAATGCATTTGGTATTAGTTGGACAGTGTCTTTGGGGACAGGTTTCCCTTCTAATTCTGTTGCCTCCACAGGCCTATCACAGATAAGAAACAAAACAAGGATGGATTAATGGATCTATGCATGATGGATGGATCAATGAATGGATGCATGGATGGATGACATTAAACTAATAGAAGCCTCAATTATTAGATCCTTGTTGTTCCACGCAGTGATTAACTCATTTTATAATCCCGGAAAGAGTCAGAAGCTTTTCATACGCAACTGTCAGCCTAATGACATCTCATCTTCATTACCCTGCAGAATTATCCCGAGGAAACGCTCTGAGATCTTTTCCTTCCATAGAACCACCCCAGTTTTTCTGAACAAGCACAATACAAGCTGCTATCCAAGCTGTTAATGCTGATTGCTTTAAACCACAAAATTATTGTGATTGTAACATTCAGAAGAGTCTTACATAAGCATGGTCAAAAATTCACATTATTTTCTGAAAAAAGACAGAAAGGAGGGGAGATGACTGATTGTCCTTATAATTTTATTGTGTTTATTTCAAGTGATGCAACCAAATTAGTTTTTCTCCCCCTACACAACTTGAATTATGTGTCACATCAACGCAGTGTTTTAAAAGGCATCCTCCAGCAATTAATCATCAAGAATTTTGGCATTAGGGTTTATAAAATGCAGTTATTCTTCATGAAAAAGGCATAAAAAGCCAAACAGTGCCTATTTTTCATATAAAAGCAAACATTTAATCAGATAAAAAGATAATTTAGTACAACAAATAATCCAGAATTATTTTATCATCATCAACTTTATTTATAAATCGCTTTAACACCAGCCACAACTGAAACAAAGTGCTGAACATCAGTAATAAATTAAGGAAAGCATAAAAATAAAGTGACAAAGCTATAAGCACACAATAATGAATTAAAAACTCAATTCAAAACACAATAAAACGACGAGTTAAACAGATAAAATCTATACCAATAAAATGTATTAAAGTAAAATAAAGTCTCAGTTGGGTTGAAGGCCAATGAGTAGAGATAAGTTTTCAGAGGGTTTTTAAACATGGACAGTGAGGGGGTCTGTCGGATGAGCAAAGGCAGAGCGAAATGAAATATGTGGGTTAAATCATCATCATTTTCACAATTATTGGTGCTCTCTCTTTTACATTCCCTGTGATTCAGGTTCAAATGATCACTGTATTTTTTGGTCTATAAGGCACACCGGATTATACGGCGCAAAATCAATGAACTGGTCTGTTTTCATATATAAGGCGCACTGGATTATAAGGCGCATTAAGCGAAACAAAACAGTCAGATAAGTCAAACTTTATTCAACTCATTCACAATGATCAGATAAAATCGGTTTGAGGTCAGTAAGCACAACCAGAATTAAAACATAAGGTGCACCTGATTATACGGCTCTCTGTCAATTTTTGAGAAAATTTGAGGATTTTAAGTGCACCTTATAGTCCACAAAATACGGTAATCCTGCTGATAGAGTCCAACTTTTGTCAAAGTCAATAAGGTGCATAATAAAAACATCAACCCAGCTCAAGATGGCTGCCACAGCCAACTGACTTTGAAAAGAAAACATTGGCATGTCAGTAAATTTGACAAATATTGCTCTAAAATGTGATGTGCTGGCAGCTGAGTCATTCGCATTACATACTCAAAATATTACTCATTGCCAAAAATATTTGCTTAAAACTTTAACTGCTGGTATCAACTCTGTGTCTTTTATCAAAATATCTCAGGGACCAGTGGACAGACTTTAATGACCATTTCAGGAAATCATTGTTGGTTGTACATCTACAATTAATTAATTGAAGTTTGTGGCAAAGTGGCGCAATTGGTAGAGCTGCCGCCTCTCAGCGAGAAGGTCGTCGGTCCAAATCCTGACCCGTGACCTTTCTGGGTGGAGTCTGCGTGTTCTCTCCGTGCATGCGTGGGTTTTCTCCGGGTACTCTGGTTTCCTCCCACAGACCAAAATCATGTATGTTAGACTGATCGGTAACTCTAAATTCCCTAGGTGTGAGTGAGAGAGTAAATGGTTGTCTCATTTGTCTCTATGTGTCCCTGTGATGGACTGGAGACATGTCCCCCGCCTCTCTCACAGTAATGGCTGGATATGGGCACCAGTGACCCCTGTGACCCAAAAAGGAAGAAGTGGGTAAAGAGGATGGATGGATGGATGGATGGATGGATGGATGGATGGATGGATGGATGGATGGATGGATGGATGG